ACCAGCATTTCTCAAATTGCGGGTCCTGACCCAAAAAGGAGTTGCAAGGAGGTTGGAAGGTTATTTGGGGGAGGGGGGGAGGCATGGTATTGCCACCCTTACTTCTGCACTGCCTTCAGAACTGGGCAGCTGCAGAGCAGCAGCAGTGCAGAAGTAAGGGTGGCAATACCATAGCATGCCATCTTACTTCTGTGCTGCTGCCTTCAGAGCTGGGTGTCCGGAGAATGGCAGCTTCTGATTGAGGACCCAGCTCTGCAGGTAGCGGCGCAGACGTAAGGGTGGCAATACCATACTATGCCATCCGTACTTCTGCGCTGCTGCTGGCGGCGGCTCTGCCTTCAGAGCTGGGATCCCAGCCAGCATCCGCCGCTCTCCAGCGGCCCAGCTCTGAAGGCAGAGCTGCCATCAGCAGTAGCGCAGAAGTAAGGATAGCAGTACTGCAACACCCCCTACAATAATCTTGCAATCACCCCCCACAACTCCTTTTGGGGTCAGGATCCCTACAATTACAACACCGTGAAATTTTAGATTTAAATAGCTGAAATCATGAAATTTATTATTTTTAAAATCCTATGACTGTGAAATTGACCAAAATGGACCGTGAATTTGGTAGGGCCCTAGTGATGGAGCATAACTCCTCTATATATTGACAGAGCAAGTCCTGAGTCCATATTGGAACCTAGTGAATACATGGAATCAGGGCCGGCTCCAGGCACCAGCTTCTCAAGCAGGTGCTTGGGGCGGCCGCTCCAGAGAGAGGTGGCAAGTGCAGGTATTCGGCGGCAATTCGGCGGACGGTCCCTCACTCCAGCTCGGCGTGAAGGACTTCCTGCCGAATTGCTGCCGCAGATCGCGATCGCAGTCTTTTTTTTTTTTTTTTTTTGGTTTTGGCTGCTTGGGGCGGCCAAAATCCTGGAGCCGGCCCTGCATGGGATGACCAGAATTCACATGGGGAATTTTTTAGCATTACATAGCATGGTCATTTACAGTAAAAAAGAAAGAAAAAGAATATTCATCTCTAGAAATTTTTTACCCCACAAACCCAGTATTGCACTTGGAAATTACTGTCCCCTAAAACAGTTCTTATAAGCGAAGATGAAACTTGAACAGCTAAAAGGGAACTACTGACTCTTGTTTAGTATCAAATCCTGTTTTAGAGCTTTCTGCTCTTAAAGATACAGCATCCTGTTTACATATCTAATCAATGAACTGGACATAAGAGAACCTGAGGAAATTGCCTGCAGTCTTCTATAAGCCTGTATGTCCCACAACTGTTCATTATGACTGTAAGCAACTAAACAGAGTTTGAGAAATTCACAAAATTCTTGTGACTTTTTTTGGTTGGTTGGTTTGCTTTTGTTTTGCCTATGAAAGCTTTTCTGACCAAGAAATGTAATTTATTCCACCATGGTTCAAATGATAAACATTTTAACAAAAAGAATCCCCACTCTCTTCTGTCTTCTCCTTAGACAGATTAAACTAACTGATTTAATTTAACAAGAGATACTACCTCTCCCCACTCCTCAGCCCCAATCCTAGTTCCCCCATCAAAATGATCCTGGGGACAATGAGGGGAGAACTGTAGTCTGCAGATCTTTTTTATGTGGTTTTGCTGTTTAAAAAACATTGCAGGTCTATGTCAAATACATCTATGAAAACCTCGCAAAACGTTATTTTTTTATTATTAAAAAATCTGGGCACTTTGCTGATCCCAAGAAAGTCTCCTAAGACTCCAGCTTTAGAACCTCTGGACTCTGATGTCCATTTCATGAATCAACTGTTCTGAATATAAAAATTTACAGTGACAAAACCTAGACAACATCAGGTCAGTGTGGCATGCAGGTAAATGAGAGAGTTCCCTCACAGTGAGAGACACCTGAGAGGTCAGTATAGGGCAGATCTAATCCTGGATGGAAATATCCTGTAGAATATAAGAGGGGCGAGATCAAGAAGGTCTACAGAAATGTTATAAATTTATATAATTTAATAGATAATGAGATCACTTCTATACAACGTTTAAAGCAACCTACATGTGTAGATCTCTATAGCAGGGCTGCCATTCTCCATTACATTCTATAGGATAGTTTAAAAATACTATAGAGAAAACATTTCCTATTAAATTCTATAAGTCTTTTCCATAAGGAACCATCTGGGAAAGAGCGCATGAGTATCAGGCTCATTCCTGAGTAATCAAAGGGCTAACTTTTACTATGGTTTTTCTATTAAGCAGCACTCACTCCAAGTTAGTTCGTAACTATTCTTGAGTTAAACATTACCCCACCTGAAGTTTGTTAGCAGGAACCCTGAGACGCTTCTGAGGCATTCATGGGTCTGATCCCTCTTCCACTGAAGTAAATATAAAACCCACATTTTTGCACAGGATTAAACCCTAAATTCTCCTCTCTCTCACACACACATACACACTGCTTAATTTGTATGTATGTGAATTCTCCAGAGTTTTGTAAAATGTTTCTCCTATGGCTGTGTGACAGTAACACTGAGTATACATACAGTAATCTGCTAACCTTCCTTCAAGAGAATAACAGTCTGTGTAACAGTAAATCAAACCCACCAGTTCTCCTGCTTATCAGACATGCTTCCTTCCTGTGACAGGAATGATACCACTACACTGATGGGAAGAGGAGAGAAGGGATTTTTTTGTGTTTGCTTTATTCATCACTTTCACTGATGCGCTTAGGAAGAAATTCTAGACTGATTCAAAAACGGAAACCCCAAGCACGGTGCACTAGAGCTGTTGCCTTTGGACAGGAAGCACTGTGGTTTTATAGGCTAAAGGTTATGCCACTTCTAAATATTTCTACGCTGAGTGGAGGTGCAAGTTCTCAGACTTCTTCCTTCAACACCCAAATGACAAGCACCAACTGCACACGTTTGCCTGCTTTCACAGAGTACAACCTGGATGATATAACTCTACTTTGCATAATGTCCTTCAGAATAACTGTGTTCCAAAATTATTGACAAAGTAATAGAGTTACAGCGGTAAATAGGACCAAACAGTAATTAAGAGGTACAGGCAGAGGCAAAAAGATAACATCTGAAATTTGATGGAGAGATACAGGTAGGCTTTCCAGATGACAGCAGCTGCAGAGGAGAACACTCTCACACCAGCAGGGGCTAAAGGAGGAGCAGAGAGTAGACCAGTGCTAGTCTATGCGAGATAGTAAAGAAGGGAGGAGAGAGAGAGACACAAAGTCTGTTGGGGAGGCTGCTGCAAGTCCATGGAAGGTTTATATAAAGAGGGCAGTTCTGAGCTGGATGCTGAAATGATTATGCAGCCAGTGGAGAACGAGAGTGATGTGGTTATGACTTTCTGTATATGTGACAGGGTGGAGACAGGATTCTGCACATGCAGGAGCCTGGAGAGGGTGTGGTTTTGGAAGCCATTGAGAAGGGAATTGCAATAGTCAAGGCTCAAGAAGATGATGGCATGCATGAGGATTTCAGCACAGGGAGACTCAAGAGAGTATGCACAGGCAAAGCTACAGAGATAGAAGAGGCAGATTTGCTGAAAGAGGAGAGGTGAGAAGGGAAGCAAAGTTTGGAATCAAGGATAATACAAAGATTATAAACTCTGAACCCAAACAGAAGGACTGCATGAAAGAGGGAGATAGAAGAGCTAGAGATGGATTTAAGGATGATCTTCTTCCCCAAAGAAGTCCTGCTGTCTTTGAAACATTTACCTGAAAGAAGTCAAAATGGAGCTCCAGGTCAGCCAATCAAGGCAGAAAAGGGATGGATAGGGAGGAGTCATTAAAAGGAGCAACACTAGGATATTGTTATGTACAGCGGAGTATCATCAGCAGGGGTCCCTGATTCCAAGATTCCACAGCTGCAGAATCCACCCCTCCCATCCACTGCAAGAGAACTGTGCTTCAGAATCCGGGTTTTAAATTTTCAAAAATATATTCTTAGGGCTCCTGGTTATGAAAGTGACTTTGAAAACATGAAGTGAGTGTAAATTGATATAGCCATGTGCCCTTGAGCCTGGGTGGGCCATCTTCTTTTTCTTACTGTTCATGACAGTTTATACTATACTAGGCTCAAGGGTTTTCCTTTATTTTCACCCAGCGGAGGAGTTCAGGTCAGAGAAATGTCACTGAGGGGAATATGTTATAGCTGCCTTCTGATTTACAAAAAATGTACTCATGAGGACATCAAACATTACAAGCAGTGATGCATTTTCCCCAACCTCCCCCTTTTCAACTCTGCACAGTGGGAAGTGCTGTCTAGGTGCAATTTTACAAAGCTACAGAGATGACTGAAGGACAGGGCTTTTTGGAGGGGAAGGCAGGCAGGGCTCAGATACCACAGGGACGGGTGAGTTCAAGAATGTAGCTAATTAGATCACAGGCCACTGAGGGTATACACACTTGTGGCCTACCAAGTGAGCTGACTCATGCTCATGGGGCTCTCGCTGCCGGGTTGTAAAACTGTGGTGTAGATGTGTATGGGCTCAGCCTGGAGCCCAGGCTCTGGGACACTCCCCACTCATGGGGTACCAAAGCTCAGGCTCCAGACCGAGCCCAAATATCTACACTGCAATTTAGAGAGACAAGGTGAGTGAAGTAATATTTGTTATTGGACCAACAAGAACAAGAAGCTGCACTGAAATCACATCTAGAAGGTTGTAAATATTCATAAATATACATATGGGAGATCAGTGGAAGAAGTAGTTTCCTTTTTTTCTCCTTAAATGTCTAGCTCAAGGTACAAAGTCAGTGTCTATTATAATCAAATTAAAGGTTTCAGAAAGCTTGACTACTATTTTCTGTTGATTTTTCACCTTTGAAGGCTAAAATTGGTTTTCAGAGAGACTTCAGGCATTCTGGACATCACCGAAATTAATAGAAAGACAACGTTGGATTGGGCCCAATCGGTTAATTGAGTGTTTTTTAACTTTGGTAGACTTGATCCTCATGCATTTTGCTTCTTCATTGTGATAAATAGAACATATAAGACTCACCACCATAACAACAAAATCTGGACAGATGGCAAACTTCACTATGTATTTGAAAACCACAGTCAAACTCACATGTATTGTACATCCATATATAACAAGGCTATGACTACATGGTAACACTCATATGTGCCATACAACTGAAGACAACACAGCTCCCACTTACTACGCATCCCTCACATATACCGTACATCAGAAAAAAAATAGCTCAAATTCAGAGGGAACAAATCAAGTTTTTTGGAAGTTTTCGAAAGCTAGGACATGACTAGCTAGGACAGGACATTTTAGCACATACACAGATTTAGAATATATATTGCAATGGTGTGTTAGTCTGCTCCAAAGGGGGAGGTTTGGATTTGATAAAGATATTTTTGTTGCTTAGTTTACAAAGGAACCTTTTCCTTTCTGTTCGTCTTCCTTGTTGTATTGTAACAATCCGATTATCCCAGCCTCTAGAATAAATTTCTGTTTTTAAATACATTACAAACCTATACCTCATGAACAGTTCATTCGGTTTTTGTAATCACTGCAGCCCCAATGTTGATCTTTTTATTTATCCTATGTGAGACTCTGCTTTATTACCTCAGCTCTCTTCTTGCCATGCGTGGACTCAAACGTCAAACTAACTATAAACAGACAGCAATATTGAATTTATTTGTGGAACGTTGTTCATTTTAACTAATTATTGTTAAGATGCCCAAAAGCCTTTGAATATTGGGCACCAAAAATTTTGGTAAGTTACCACTCTATTATTAAATATAAGGATGATGCATCAACATCAATAATATCATACACACTTTGGTGACAGAGCTGGAAAAATAGTCCATTTGGTCTGCCACTTATTGTGCCTTTTGCTCTTTACATAATGAACATAATAGTTCTAAGGAGATTGTAGACTCCCCATCACTGGAGGTTTTTAAGAACAGTTTGGACAAACACCTGTCAGGGACAGTCTAAGTATACTTGGCCTTGCCTCAGCATATGGGGTACTGCGGATGACCTGTTGAGGTCCCTTCCAGCCCTACATTTGTATGACTCTATTATTCTATTTCTAGATTCCATAGTAAAATAAATGCCAAAGGAAGCCTAAAATGTTCAATTATAATGTCCTTTTATAAACATCTCTGCTTTTTGACAGTGTATCAAAGAGAAAAAACGAAGCAGCCCATTACTACTTCATTGTTATTCAAATGAGCAGAAACAATTCAAAAATGATGCCTTGATCTATTTTGGTGTGTGTGGCTGAGCTAGATCCATAGCCTGACTCTTTAATTTGGCTTTTAAAATCAGAGTTCCTGCTAATTTGTATCTGGGTGATTGCTGAACACAAGCTAGTGTTGCTGGGGAGCAAGAGTGGGGGTGGGGGCTTTACCTGGACATAGGGTTAGTATATTTCAAGTTCACAACTAGAGGACACCTTTGGGGGGGTGGGGAGGGGAAGGAGGAGCTGGAGGGGGATTTGGGAGTGCTGGATGGAGTGTGTGTGTACTGGGAGGGGGTATTTGGAGGTGCTGGAGGGGCATGTGTACTGAGAAGGGGATTTGGGGATGCTGGAGGGGTTTATGTGTACTGGGAGGGGGTATTTGGGGGTGATGAAGGGGGTATTTGGAGTGCTGGAGGAGTGTGTATACTGGGAAGGGGTATTTGGGGTACTGGAGGGGTGTACGTGTACTGGGAGTGGGTTTGGGAGGGTGCTGGAGGGGTGTGTGTACTGGAGGGGGGTGCTGGAGGGGTGTATGTGCTGGAAGGGGTATATGGGGAGTGCATGTGTACTGGGTTTTTTTGGGGGTGCTGGAGAGGTGTGTGTGTACTCGAAGGGGTACCTGGGAGATGTTGGAAGGGGTACCTGAGGCCTCATTGTCGAGGTGGGGGGGCAGTGTCGTGCTCCCTATCACAGTGGCGGGGAGGCTGGCCCAGGCCCGGGACACAGTGCCAGCCTGTCTATGGCAGGGAACCAAAGCCTGGTCCTGTCACCCCTCCCAGACAGGTTCTGAGGCCCCGCGGCGGGGCAGGTGGCCCAGCCAAGAGGCGCTTCGTGGCTCCACTTACCTGGCAGGCTGGGCTAGGGCAGGCAGGATCTGGCATCTGTGGATGCAGGGGAGGGACCAATCGGGGCATGGAGATGGCTCTCTCTGAGCTGCAACCTCTGCTCCACAACGAACAATCCTGGACACTGCCTCTTATTTGAAAAATCTGCCCGGACAGAGGGTGGGCTACCAAAAAAGAGGTCACGTCCAGGAAAACCTGGGATCAGGCAGCTTCAGCTCTAGGCCTCTTACTCCTCAGTTGCCAACTCCCTCCCAAGCAGTGCTCTATTCTAGATACCTGTAATTCTGGTCAGACTGTGCAAGGGATCCCCTGCTGGAAGGAGGCTCACATTGCAGCCAACTGGTGCTTCAGCGGCTGAAAAGTCAGGCAGGTCTCCTTCATCCTGTAGCCAAGCTTTTATCTACCGACCATACCACCAACTTCCCTGTGGAGACAGGAGGCAGTACAGCAGTAATTTGAACCTACGTCTCCCACATCCTGGGTGAGTGCTCTAACCACTGAGCTATTGGGCAAAAGGGGGACACCACCACCATCTCCTCTGGCATCTTTTGCGCAGGTTTAGGCATGCTATCAGTACACCTATGGGATCAGGCCCCAAAGGCAACATAGACAGGGGATTGCCTACTTGATAAGTCCTGCTGGGGCTTAGGTGAAAGTTAAGCACTGAGCTGCTGGATGGGGGCAGGATTGAGGCAGCTGTGCACACCAGGTGCCAAAATGTAGGCACCTTGGGGATTTGGTGAATGCTAGTGGCACCTAAATGTTGGGCTTAGGCACGTAAAGTGGCAGTTAGGCACCTAAGTCTCCCTGGTGAATCTAGCTCTAGATGTGTAATGGATAATGGGGAAAAGGACAACTAGTAAATTACAAAACATACAAACAAACCACAAAACAAAAAAACCCAAAGGGAATTCCCTCTGGCAGAATTCCACTGGCTACAGTGGCTTTGCTCCTGGGATGAATCTGGACCCCAAACTGCCTGTTCTGCATTTACTCCTTGGAAAGTGGGCACACTTCATGCAAGAATGAGAATAAAACTCTTTGAGGATTGATGGCTTGGGTGATTAGGGAAGTGAAGATGATCTACACTCAGTTGTTACACAAGCTTCAGAAGGGAAATCAATAAAGCTTTTCAAACATCCTGAAGCTGGTGATCAGCAAATAATAAGGCACACTGAAAGCAGGGAGATTAGCATTAGACTTTGGATTTGACAAATGAGCAGATGTAAAGGTGTTCGAAAGGCATTGGATATTGAAGAAGGTGGGGGACACCATAAAGATAAAAAGAGCACATTGATTTTATTAGCCAAACCCCAGTGTAAACAAAAAATGAGCAGCCAGAATATTATATATATAAGATCTATGGATGACAATCTAACAACTCAGAAATAATAGCCAGCAGAGTGTGGGGTAAATCAGATTCTAGCCTATACCGCTATTTTTCTCCAGAGTTTCCATCCTGTAAAAGCAGATTGTATCATATTTTGCCATTTATGAACATGAAACAGTGTATTACAGGTTCTAGAAAATAAATTGTAGCTCAGTCTTGTTCTCCCCACACTGACCTTTTTGATATTCAGAGGATTTAGAGATGTAAAGGCCTATTTGATAAAGTCCATCCCTCTGCAAGAGGGATATACCTGCATTGTGGTGAAAAAAAGAAACTGGATCTTTAAATCTCTCCCATTTACGTGCAACAATAACCAGCATTTAAAGGCAATAAGGAGGAGCTCTCATCTTGGCAGGCAACTGGTGAGGGCATCAGGCCTGGGTATGGTCACAAAGTTCATGGAGCAGTGCAATAAAGGACAGATCTTTTCATGATCCTTCAACACCTCGCTCAGGTGTTTCATCTCATCTGTTAGCTTCCCAATCTCTCTTTTCAGGGAGGTATTTTCTTGTTCAAGGCACTCATATTCCTGGAATGAAAAAAGGAAGCCCACTGCTAATAAAAACGTTCCTTTCAGTGCCTTCACCTGTTTTTAATCAAATGATAGCAGAATAAATTGTTGTTTCTGCTTATTTAATGTTTTTGAAATCTAACATAAGAATCAAAATACTAAACTAGCCTAATAAATACAGATGCTTGTAACAATGCGACTGTTACTATCCATGTTCTTACTGAGCTACAGTTGTGGGCCCAGATCCTGAGCTGTGGCCACGAAGCATGTAGTCCCACTCAGGAGGGGATTGCGAAGGTAGCATTTAGCCACCTTTGCATTCTTCTGATCCTGGGCTAATCTACGTTGTTCTGGTTCCCCCATCACAAATTGTTGTAGCCTAAGGGTGCTCTAGGTTGTGCTCGCTAGCAAAGGCCCAAAGGGACCCTTCTGGCAACCAGTGATTGCAAGAGTGTGGGCTGTGACCAGAACACCCAGCTTCTTTCCCCAGCCATGTCCTCTGCACAGGTTGAAGGGATGGGGGTGGTTTAGGAGTTCCACACCATCCAAAGATCCTTCCACACAGGATACATCCTCTGTAGGCCGCAAAAGGCAGTTTTGTATTGCCTAAAAAATCAAAAGTACCCAAGTTAAACTGGGCAGAATCCTGGTTTGCTTTGGGAAACATGAGTAGTTGGGCAACTGCCTAAGTGCTAAATCTGTGCCTGGGGTTTCTTCCCTTTCAGGCTGTACAATGACTTGTGTGGCTGGAAAGCCCAGATTGGCCATGTAATACCATGGAAGCTACTGAGCCCAAAGTCTGGCCCTGATAGCAGCGAACTCAGCTCTACATCTGCATTTATGTTTCAGAATGAAACTAAGCACTACTTTCCTTCTACATTATCTACTATATAAATTAATGATTACAAAATTGAAAAACATCTGTGAGACCCTCATTTTCTGCTATCATCTGCTGCTCATCTGGGACTTGAGTAACTTGCTAGAGACCTTGTAATATAAACTGAACTGGTATATATGCTGGAGGGGCATTATTATTAACTAATTATTATTATTTGTATTAGTATAGCGCCTAGGAGCCCCACTCATGGACCAGTACCCCCACTATGCTAGGTGCTGTACAGACACACAACAATAACACAGTCCCTACCCCAAAGAGCTTACAACCTAAATATAAGACGAGACAACAGACGGATGCAGACAGATGAGGGAATACAAGGAAACAATGAGATTATATTGATCGGCATGAAAAGGCTGTGGGACCAGTGTTTCAGTGCAACTTCAGTTATTCTCTGATTTTCACTTTCAATTGAATGTGGGTTAGCAAACACTTCCACAGAAGTTCCTATCTAGATCAACACAAGCTGTCCAACCACCATGACCACTGTACTTATATAGCAAGAAAATAATCACTCATCATATTTTCCTAACTAAAAAATGAAAATATCCCACAATCCAGCAAGTGTAAAATATCCCTCTGAAGTTATCTTTATTATTCCCCCTTTAAAATGTGTTTGAATTTAATGCTCACAAGAGCACTATGAAGAATCAAATATGCAGGCAGGTTCAATGCTGGTTTCTAAACACTGCTCTGCTTTGCACCCACGTCAATCCTGACCCACACCCTTGTTATTCCAGTCCTGCTTCTTACCTGAGCAGAGACTGCCTATGGGAATGAATTGTAGAAGAGTTGGAGGCATTCTGTAGTAGACGCCAGGGGAAGAAAAGCGCAGACATTTGGCATTTTATCTCTAGAAGTTGGTATAATGGAACCTAGGTATGGTGACCCCATTACAAGTATTTCCTGCACTTCACAGTGTTTTGCAAGGACAAAAGACATCATGAAAAATTGTCTTCTGTGGATAAATTTTATTTTCACAATGTAGAAGACAGAGATAATTCTGTGCTGAATTGGGCCCTGAGAGCTGCATCACTTACATAAAAGCATTAGTAGCATAGTAGTAAATATTTATAGTATGGTGGTGCCCAAAGCCCCAGTCAAGCTAGAAGCCTCATTGTGCTGGCTGCTGTACAAAGACAGAAAAGAGACAATGCCTGCCCTGTTAGATTTACAACTGAACAGACAGTAGGGCTACCATATTATATTAGTGATGCTGAGGGCTTGTTAATAGGATTTCAAAAAGGATCAGACATTTATATGCACAATGGGAACATCCACAGTTTAAGATAGGATAAAATATATATAAGGTATCTAAACCCTCAGATTTCAGTGACTTATTGGAGTTAGCAGAAGCTTCCCCATGGGAAGCTTATTCCTTAATTGTTCAGTATAAGGTTCTAGCACCACTGGCAAGTTCCAGATGTTTCAACGTAGGGAAAATATTGGACTAGACAGCTCACCAGCATGGTCAGTATGGTAATTCATATGTTTTTACACCAAACCCAAACTTCCTCATGCTGGATTAGTACGAAAACCACCCCAGATCTGTTTAAGAAATGCATAGTATTGTTAAATTCTGCACACAACGCTCAAAAGGCAATGCAACATACGAAATACCCATTCACCTCATGGAGTTTGTCTGCTTTCTGCGTTTGTTTCTTCCGGCTTCTCTGGGCAGCGACTCTGTTTTTTTCTCTCCGTCTTATCTTCCTATCATCCTCTTCAGGACTCTGAAAAACCAAACCAAACACCTTGTTGTTGTTTTTTTAAAAAGTGCACTGAGATTCAAAAAGCAAGGAAATAACTTTTAGTGAAAATAAGCAAACAATCTGGTGTGTTTCATAATAACAATATTTCATTCTTACATAATCCTCTCCATCCACAGATCTTAAAGCACTTTGCAAAGGTCAGTAAGTAGCATTATCTCCATTACACAGACAGGGAAACTGAGGCATGGAGAGATTTGTGGCCTGATTTTCAAAAGTGCTGAGCACTTGCTGCTCCTATTGACATCTGTGGGAGCTGGGGTTGTTGAGCAAGTCAGTGGCACAACGAGGACTAAAAACTAGAGAGGCCTGATTCTGTGATACCCTGCATCAAGGGGGCTGGAACTAGGGGTGCTGTAGGTGCAGCAGCACCCCCGGCTTGAAGTAGTAATAATAACCAAATACATGGTTTCCCCACGATAAAAATTATTCCAGTATCCCTGCCTGTATCTTGTAGCCACTTATACCAGTGTATGAAAAGTAGATATAAAACTCTACCGATCAGAATAATAGTGTTTTATGTCCACTTAATCCAGTAGACCATGTGGTTTTCCAGAAACAACCTTGTTGATTACATAAATCGCATATAATACACATGCCACCGTGTCTTAGAAATTTACACAATCACAGATGTTTTTGGCTTTTTAGAGAGGAAAATCTCCTATATAAAATATCTTAGTAAGAGATCCTATTTTGGATTAATGTTTTCCTGTGTTGTTCATACACAAAATCCACTCACAACCTAGAAAATAACTTTCTGTTTTCATTATGGAGTCTTGATCATGGTTTGTGGAAGCTTGGGGAGGCTTTCCATTATAAACCCAATGATTAACTCTCCCTCGCATACCTGAAAAATTCTCCATCTGGTCTGAAATTTCATTTGCTTCCTCTCAGGCTGGAGCAGAATTTTATATATATTAAAGAAATCGGGTAAATAAGCTTGCCTGCTAGCTAACAATGCCCAGCAACAGTTGTCTGCAGATCTAAGTGACATTTGACTTAGACAACAATAAGATTTGTATAGTCCAGAGAAAGCACACTCATCACCAAGCTGCAGCATAATCTGCAGAAGAGTGAGCTAGGATTGGGGAGCAAGGGGAGGAGTTCCCTAAGCATGCTGCAAATATTTCCCTACAGCTCTGTAATAGGACAGGATCAATTGCCTTTCATCTTGGTTTGGAAAGAAGACACAGAATTCATCCCAGCATGTCAACGACAGTGTTAAGGCTGCTGGCGGTGGCTGCTGTTGCTCCTAGCAATGTTTACTCTGTCAAGTTAACCACTGTTTCCTCTCTTACAAGGAAGATTTAGACAACAGAGCAGAAAGTATTTAAAACTGCATGTCCTCGATTGAAGAAGCTGTCCTGGTAGGAGCTGTAATGCACTGCTATCCAGACGGCTAAAGTCCGTGAACTGAACTCATCTCTGAGGTAACACTATTGAAATAAATGGAGTCACATCAGTGATGAATTCCACCCCATGTGTCAGATATGCACAGGAGAGACATATGTCTGTGTGTGGTTTCATGAAAGAAAGGGCTAGAGCGGGCAAAAGGAGCGCTCATGGTAATTACAGATCCATGGAAAGAGGGCATCTCTTCTGCATCTTCTGTTCTCTTCTGCATCTTCCCTATGGGGTTAGAGATTACAGCACAGGCACGTCCAGGCAGGAGTTAGTGTCCCAAGACAAGGTCAGGACAACCAATGCCAGCATCAACGAGATGCTGCTCTTTATCTTGGGAAGCATGGAAGCAGCCATTTCTCTTAGGGTTGCCAACTCACCAGGATTGTCCTGGAGTCTCCAGGAATTCAAGATTAATCTTGAATTAAAGGTTATATCATGGGATGAAACCTCCAGGAATATGTCCAGCCAAAACCGGCAACCCTATGTTCTGATCATCCTGTCTCCTACCTGTACATCCTGATCCTGGCTCCATCCTGAGAATCTGCCCCGCCAAGAGGAGGAGAAAAGCCTTCTCCGCCTGCACCTCCCATCTGACTCTGGTCACTATGTTATAGGGGACTCAGCATTATGTATTTGGGACCCAGTTCCAGCTGCGCCCTAGATCAGGACATGGTCCTGTCAAAAGTGATCCCCAGGCTGGACTCCTGATCTACAGCCTCAGGAATGTGGAGGTGAATGATGCTATCTATGGTTGTGAGGAAAACATTTCCTTATGTGATGTGATTTGCAGGGAGTCCATAAAGAATAAGCAGCAATTGCTCAAATTAAGAGAGAGAGCGAGAGAAAGGACCCGAGGCGAGTCGGTGCCAAATTGAAGACAAGCACTAAGCGCTCATCACAACGCACTTTGAGGGGCACCAGCTACCTTTGTACAGAGGCGGGAAATGGGATGAGACCAGGGAAAGGCTGCCGAGTTCCCTGCCCACGCCCTCCCGTGCTTCTCCACAGCCTGCTCCTGCCCTGCTGGTGTCCCGCCCCAAGCCCCGGCTGCTGCGCCACTCGGACCCTGATTCACCCTCCCCCTGCCCGGTACCTGCGGCTGATTCCCATCGGAAGAGGCGCTTCGCTGCAGGACGCTGCCCGAAGCCGGGACACCGAGCGACATCCCGGGAGCTGCTGAGCGGCCGGGGCCGCGGCGGGAGCCCAAAGAGCAGCCACGCTCCCCGCACCCCGGCCCCTGCCAGCGCACTCCTGTCCCCAGCCTCGCTAGGGGGAAACTCCGGCCCGGGGCATCCCGGCAGCCTGCACCTGGCTGCAGCGGCTCGCACGCTCTCTGTGCTTCCCCAGCCTCCGGGGAGGAGCCGCCTCTTCTTCCCGGATCCGGCCGCGGCCGCAGCCTCCGGGAGGCAGAGCCTGGGAGTCCCGCACTCGCGGTGGCGGCAGCAGCAGCTCACTTGTCAATTTCATGGAAGTCACGTGGCGCCCTTTGAAACTTAGGAGGGAACTAGTTGCTAAACCGCAAGGGTGGCTGCGTGGGGAAGCGAGAGGGGCTGCGGAGCACAGCCAGGCGGGGGGAGGCCAGAGCTCCCTCCCCTCGCACGCCTCGGGGGGCTCGTGAGAGCGATACTCCGAGCCATAGATACCCTAGCACCCGGGGGGCAATTTGGGAAATAAGAACTGAAGGCTATGAGACCAGCACCATAAAGCGATTCCTTGGCGATGGGAGCCAAACTTCCCCACCCACTAACTACCTAGCAAAGAGAGAACATGTGAGAGGGGGCTGACGGGAGGGTTTAGTTCAGCTCCTTAGAGAGAAAACTCAGGTCCCGCTCTGAAGGGGGACAGGGATTTAGGGGGTGCTCAGATCCGGGGTTTGGACTTAGCCCCATTTCTACAATGACATGTTTTAAGGGCTAGAAGGAGGAAGAGGAAACAGGATCACAATCCTTAATACGCTCCCTCCGGCACAGCCATACACTGGATTAGATGGATTCTCTAGGGGTACATCTACACTACAGCGGGGAGTCGGTTTAAGATACGCAAATTCAGCTACGTGAATAGCGTAGCTGAATTCGACGTATTACAGCCGACTTACCCCGTTGTGAGGACGGCGGCAAAATCGACTTCTGCCGCTTTTTGTTGGCGGCGCTTACTACCACCTCCGCTGGTGGAGTTAGAGCACCGATTCGGGGATCGATTGTCGCGTCCCGTCGGGACGCGATAAATCGATCCCCGAGAGGTCGATTTCTACCCGCCGATTCAGGCGGGTAGTATAGACCAGGCCTAGGGGGACAGTGAAACCAACCATTTCCTGTATATAAAAAGGGTCTAGCCTGCCAACAGGACAGTGATAAGAACAGTATAAATGCTTAGCAAGAAGGATGAATTTTCAATCCATAACTTTGCTAACTACTAGAAAACATGGACTGAATAGACACACTGGATTTATGGCTTATTATACAAATGTATAAGGCACTAACAACCCTCCCAGCTGCCTGCCTTCTCCCCCCTTTTCCTTCCCTCCCACAGGAGGGGTGTTAACAGGCCAATTCACTTTGAAGGGACCCTTGCAATGTGTTAACTACTTATACTAAACAATCTGTTCAACTCTGGTATTTAGCTGTGATACTTTGAGTTAGGCCTTGTCTACACTACAAAGTTTTGCTGACAAAAGGCAGCTTTTGTTGACAAAATGGTGATTGTGTACATACTGCGATGTGACTTTTGGCAGTAAAAATGCCCTGTTTTGGCAACAAAATACAACCACCCCAATGAGAGATTAAGGGTATGTCAATACTGCCCACATTACAGTCCGGCCGCGGCAGCGCTGTGACATGGTCAGTATAGTGACGCTTTATCACCGCCGGGGGGAGAGCTCTCCCGGTGATAAAAAATAACCACCCCGAACGAACGAGGGGTGGTAGCTTTATTGCTGGGAGCACAGCTCCCGGTGATAAAGTGCTGTCTATACTGGCGCTTTTCAGCACTAAACCTTTTGTCGCTCAGGGGGGTGTTTTTTCACATCCCTGACCAACTAAAGTGTTAGTGCAGAAAGTGGCAATGTAGACACAGCCTTACAGCTTTTTCCTCTAAATTTTTGTTGACAAAGTGCCAGTGTAGATATCACGTTTGATTTTATCGCTTTAATTGGCCTCCAGGAGGTGTTCCACAATGCCCATCGGGATCGCTCTGGTCAGCAGTTTGAACTCCGCTAGGCTACAGCTAGGAAAACCACCATCTGCCCCTCCCCCTTAGAAGCCCTGGGAATTTTTGAAATTCCATTTCCTGTTTGCTCAACCTGGAGAGATCTCATCGCATCTTCCCAGGTAACCATGTCGCAGCAAATGCTCTCCTGCTTCCGCTTAGACCACTGCAGAGCTGTTGGATCTGCTCAGTATATGGGGAGAGGAGACTGTGCAGTCCCAGCTGCGCTTGAGCCATAGGAATAGGGATACCTATGTAGGGTGACCAGATGTCCTAATTTTATAGGAACTTTTTTTTAAATATGGGCTTCTATTACCTCTCACCCCCAGTCCCGATTTTTCACATTTGCTATCCGATCACCCTATACCTATGGGCACATTTCTCGAGGCTTGTGTGAAAAGGGCCATGATCAGGACATGCTGCAGTGCAGAGCGATGATAAAGGAGTTGAGGCAGGCGTACCATAAGGCAAGGGAGGCAAACTGTCACTTCAATACTTCACTTAAGACCTGCTGGTTCTATAAGGAGCTGGACGGTATCCTCGGTGGCAACCCCACCTTTGTCGCCAAGAGCTCTGTGGATACTTCGGTGGGCCTGGAGGAGGTAGAAAAATGAACTAACCTGGAGAACATAGTCATTGATGAAGAGGTGGAGTTAGATGATGATGTGGAGCTCCCGGCGAGGTCTGACCGTGGGGCAGGCAGCCAGGAACTGTTCACCACTTCAGAGGTGTCTAGCCAGTCTCAGCAGTTGCTCTCCGGTCAGGGCCGGCTCCAGGCACCAGCTTGCCAAGCAGGTGCTTGGGGCGGCCACTCCGGAGAGGGGCGGCAAGTCCAACTATTTGGCGGCAATTTGGCGGACGGTCCCTCACTCCCGCTTGGAGCAAAGGACCTCCTGGTAAGTGGCTTGGTTTGTGTAGTGCAGAGGTGGGTTCAGAGCATAGAAATGTGTAAGGCTGGCTGTTTCTGTGAGCTGGACATTTCCCTGTGTAGCTAATCAGTATGGCGGAACAGGGTGTTGATGCACGCGGAGATCTCACGGGAATCCTCCAGAGAGATCTCCAGGAAAGTTTCCTGGAGATATTCAGTAATCTTCTGCCGAAGGTTCCATGGCAGAGCAGCTTTGATCCTTCCCGCATTGTAGGAAACTTTCCCGCACCATTCAGCAATCACTTGTGCAGAGACCAAAGCAGCACACAGGCAAGCAGCATAGGGAGCTGGGTGGAAGTCACAAGCATGTAGCAGATGTACCCTAATTTCCCTCCTTACCCTTAGCAGCGAGATGTCTGCTAGAATGACCCCTGCCTGTGGAAAAGTGTGGGAGAATTTTAGAATTTTTTCCCTAGTCAGCTGCACCACAACCCTTGCAGAGTGAGTGCTCTTTTCCCCATGTGGAGCGCCCCCGCCAACACTCACCATGCTTTGGGTGTTCGCAGAGATGTGTTCTCGCCAAAGATCAGTGAGAAAGTAATTGAATGTTGCAAAAGGTGTATTTTACAGAAACGTTTCAATGCTGTGCATGAATTTAGCAATCATGCTTCTGTGCACTGTTCCTTGTGCTTCGGCAGATGTGGCCTTCAGGAATACCCCCACCCCCTCCCAACACACACCGGCCGAGTGTCTCCGCCACCTAAGAAAGTGCCCAAGACAGAGCAAAGAGGACATGTTCTGGGAGGTACTGCACTCCTCCAATGCAGAGAAAAGGGAATGCAAGGAGTGGTGGGAAGCCAAAAGACAGGACAGAAAAGAAAATCAGGAGTGTGTTAAGGATGCTAGTAAGCGGATGATTAAAGTCATGGAGAAGCAAACGCAGATGCTGAAGTCCTTAATAATGCTGCAGAGTGAGCAGATCTGTGCCCGCTCGCCCCTGCAACACATTCAGAATTCTTTTCCATGCCCCCCCCAACTCTGCCCACACAGTCCTTTCCAATTGCCGGGACTTCTCGGTTTTGCCTTCGCTCCACCCCCTTGGACAACTTTCAGAGCTGTGTGTAGGTCCAACTTCTATTATGAAAGTCTGCCCTTCCCTGGTACCTCCTTTCCCACAAAGCATCTTTGTGTGTGTTGTTTCTTGTGCAATAAAAACAAAGTTTTTGAATGGTAACTCATCTTTATTGGTTTTCTACAAATTGAGATAGCAGGCACTACCAATACATACAAGGTCAGTTTATTCATATGCTTGCTGGACTGTAAGGCCCCAAATGTCACCATTGCTTCCTAGGAAAACTACATGTAATGTAACATTGCAGCACCAATCACAGAGATATACATTACTGGTTCTCATTTTCAAAGTGTTACCTCAAAGCCTCCCTGATTCGAATTGCCCCGCCCCCCACACCCTTGGGGTTCTCTAACTGCCCTGGTATCTGGCTGCTCAAAATCAGCAGCCAAGTGGTCTGCCTCAACACTCAACCCCTGAGCACACCTTTCACCCTTACCTTCACAAATATTATGCAACGTACCGCACGTGGCTATCACCATGGGAATATTATCCTCATTAAGGTCTAACCTGCCATAAAGGCATCACCAGCACAGCTTTAATCTGGAAAAGGCACCCTGTCATCCGGCACCTACTCAGCCTGTTGTTGAACCACTCCTTTCTGCTGTCCAGGTTTCCCGTGTAAGCTTTCACAAGTCAGGGCTGTAGGGTACCCTGGGTCTCCCAGGATCACTATGACATTTCAACATCTCCCAATGTAATCTTCTGGTTTGGAAAGAAAGTGCCCGCTTGTAGCTTTCAATACAGGCCGGTGTTCCTGAAGATACATGCGTCATGCACCTTTCCAGACCACTCCGTGTTGATGTCAGTGAAACTCTCACGGTGATCCACAAGCACCTGCAACACCACGGAGAAGCACCCCTTCCTATTGATGTACTGCGTCACAAGGTGGTCTGCTGCCAAAATTGGAATGCTTGTGCCATCTGTCACTCCTCCACAGTTAGGGAAACCCATTTCTGCAAAGCCGTCCACTGTTTCATACACATTTCCCAAAGTCATGGTCCTTTGTAGCAGGATGCGATTAATTGCCCTACACACTTGCATTAATGTAGCACCAACAGTCAACTTCACGACTCCAAATTGATTCGCGACCGACCAGTAGCAGTCTGGAGTCATCAGCTTCCACACAGTGATTGCTACATGCTTCTCTACTGAGAGGGCAGCTCTTTTTCTGGTGTCCTTGCGCCGTAGTGCTGGGGCGAGCTCTGCGCACAGTTCCAAGATGGCTTTCCATATCCGAAAGTTCTGTAGCCACTGCTCATCATCCCACACCTG